AAACAATGATCACAAGCCTTCATCCCGCTCTGTCAGGTTCCTGATAGACTATGAGTTGATCTGCAGTCCATCCATCTTTAAACTCCACATTATCAAAAAGTCAGAAAATCACTTTTGGACCAAAGGTTTGCCTGGAAGTGGCAACAGTCTTCTCTCCTTCAGGTTGAAACTTCTGCCCATGTACTTGAACAACATCTTTATTTTGCATCAGCTGACAGTTTAAATGAGCCTCTTCTCCCACTGCTGCCATCACAGTCTGCTGTGTCTGTACCAGAGCTGTTAGACCTGCAGGAGATGAAGCAACAGAGATGTTTCTTCAACTGAGGGTGCGTGTATACTTTCATACTGGAAGTCCAACTTAAGTCTGATTTTTTGTTGATGCATTTCTTCTTTGCAAATATGATATGAATTATGAATTTAACCATGTTAGCGCCTTCCTGTCCACTGTAAAATGAAATTATTCTCAAATCACAGTGTATTTTTATACTAACAGTGCACCAGTACAGTATGTAACAGCAGATGTTAAGTTATGAAATATGGAGGAAACTAATTGCTCTGTACCTATTCTAATATAAAGGGGTACATGAGCGTCTAGGCACACAGGTCATAAACACTGACACATGCTGGTAAACTCTGCCCCTTTTCCAGTAAACCAGCTGACTTTCTCACAGCTGCTTCTTCCTGTCTGCTCAGTTGACCGTTGAAATTGTCTGCAGACAGCTTAGAAGATATGTGCTGAGTCATGATATCACTTATAGCTCACTGTATTATATTTCAGAGTTATATTTAAAGTTTTTCAACGTTTGCATACAGTACATACGAATGAGTCGATCGTTCTCTACAACTTCCTCTGATGCAAGTTGAACACACTTCTTTTTCGCTGTATTTCCGGGAGAAAACCTCAACTGCAACGTTTTTTTCTGCCACAGTGAACAACATTCAACAACAAAAGCTGAACAATCTCAGGCTGCTTAAGTCCCCTTATGGAGAATAATGTTGTGTTAAAGCTCTCACATTGTGACACAAAGCAGCAGAAGAAACTAGACTGCTAATCTAATATAATACAAGCTACACAATTCTCACTTCAACAGTATGGAGTCCCTAAGGAGGCAAGTTTCTCGTGCTCACAGGAAAGTCTTCTTGGCAAAAGACCATTAAAGCTCATCTTACTTTCAAGATTGGCAGCAGAGGTGGATATTCTGTGACATTTTGCCTGGTAAGTCCCTGACTACTAGACTTCAAGCTTGTGGACAAAGCAGGTGGGAAACTTTATTGTTCTGTCTCTTCGTTGATCTCCTGTTTCCTTAAGCTCTATGACCGACGCCACATCCACCTCTTTATATCCGGAGATATCAGTGTGTGTTTTTACTACTACTCCACTTCCCCTTCCAGATGTGATTAATGAGCTTTGTGGATATGAGTCATTGGTTAGGTATGTAGGATGAGCGTGTTGATGCAGGAAGAGAAAGTAGAAGAACTATTATTGTTCATAAATAATTATTATTAGACGCTGCTTTGCTTGTTTCACCCACAGAAACTCCCTTATGGGCTCCTGAACTATCACCTCTTTAAAGCAGTGAACTCCCATATGAAAGGGCAGTAAGGTGCAGAAAAAGTACCCCAATTTTTAAAAAAAAAAGACAACTATGTAATTTCCATTTCTTCTTTTGTTCTTGTCTTCCCCTCTGCAACGTTAGTAAGGCGTTCGGCTGTATTATTTGTTTGTAGCCTTCCTACTGGATTTACACCTTTAGTACAAAATTTGACTGTAAATTAAAAAAAGAAAGAAAAAGAAAGCTTCTTACCTTCCTGGAAGAGAAAACAGAAGAAATGAAAAGGGAAACCTTTAAATGCAGGGTGCATCATCTTCCCACCATCTTTGAGTTCAACCTCAAAAGAAGAAGTAAGAAAATGAAACATTAACTCACATATTGAGCTTTTTCTTTCTTTCTTTTTAACCATTTAAAAAAAAAAAACACATTGTTGTAATCCATGTAAAAAGTTATTCTCCCACTGAATTAAAACCAACCTGTGTTGAACTCCTTCTGCCTTCCTCGAAATGAATCTTTGGAAAGTTTGGTGCGATCCTGTTTGCAGTGTCAGATATCATCTTTATTTCACTTCCAGCTGTGTGAGAGCCTGATTGAACCTTCAGAATAAAAGCGCTTCAATAACAAAATAAACAGGGACTTTTATTGTTTAGACTGTGTAGGAAGTCTGATATGTTTGTGGCACGGATCACGGAAGCTCTTGTTTTTCATTCAATCTTGAGCTCTGATGGAAAAACGCCCCCCGATGGCTCATCATCATCTCCACAGTAAATCAGAACAAACAGCGACCTCCAGTGGTCATACATCTGCAGCTGACCTTGAGGCACAGCTGGGAATAAATCACATCTAAATATGAGCATTATTGTTGTTGTTGCTATAATTAGAGGCAGTAGGAAACATGATAGCAGTGACAGCACTACCAGTTATAATTTTAATTAAATTAAATTTAACAGTAAATGAGCGTTTAAGTTAATAATTCATCACATTTTGTTCCCCCAAAAAGTTTTGTTTTTGTTTTGTATCCCATGATATATATTATTAATTAAAGGTTCCTATCACTATCACCCCCATACATATGAATGAAATTAGTCAAATCAATCTCCTCTCAGAATGAGCCTGCATTTGTATATTTATGATCAGTTTTTCTTAAAAATATATTTGTCCAGTTTTTACAGCAGGTGTGATTCAGTGGTTGTTATTGTTCTGCTGCGAGGAGCCTTAATTCCTTTAGATATAATCCAGGACAACAAGGACATTGAACACAAGTGACATCACAACATTAAGACATCATGTTTTAATTAACAAAAATAAATAAATATATAAAAAATAAATTATTAAAACCATATCAGTATTAAACACACAGGCAGCACAGTTACAACCATACAGTTGTTATATCTCAGGGTAGTAATAAATAACATTTATAAACACAAACACTGAACACTTTAGAGCTAAACAAATTACACATAATAATATGCAGGCAATAATATGTCTAATATGTCACATATTATGTCTAATTTTAACTTTATAGATCCATATAAATGGTTATTTTGGCAAGGGAGTAAAAACACATCGCTCCTCAAGTTGACAGGGAGAGAAGGGACCCGGAAGAAGAGTCAGTGTTGAACAAACATTTCATCAGATGATTATTGGTATTATTAGTGGATGATCTGAAAAAGATCTCGGTCAGTCTTTACCGGTATCAACTGTGAAAGGAGAGAGACGGGGATGACACAGAGCAAAGGCCTGATGTTTTCTTTTGAGCAGGAATGCGATGAGTGCAACACAAACACAAACACAGGCCACTACCACAGACAACACAATGATCTGGGTGGAATCTGTGAGAAAAGAGGAAAATTAATGATAAACACTGAACAATCATAAAGAAACAACAGATCAAAAGGTAATGATTGAGAACACTTAAGACTGAGATTCATCATAAATCTGAAAA